CCATCACCGAGGCCTTTGCTGGTAGTGACGTTGCGGGCTTGAGAACCACCGCCACCAAGACGCCTGACGGCAAGCACTACGTAAGTCCTCCAGCCATCCCCACCAACACCACACCATCACCACCATCACCACCACTATCGCCAAAACCACCACCCCCACCACCACCGCATCATTTTTTATCCAATCCTACTAATTCAATAACCAAATAGATCGTTGAAGGCAGTAAGAAATGGATTACGAACGGGGTTTTCAGTGATTATTTTGTCACCGGAGTTAAGACCGAAAAGGGTCTCAGTGTCCTCCTGATCGAGCGGGGTGAGGGCGTTGAGACCAAGGCCATCAAGACGTCCTATTCGCCTGCCGCCGGTACGACTTACATCACCTTTGACAAAGTAAAGGTCCCCGTCGAGAACCTCCTGGGCCAGGAGAACAAGGGCATTCATGTCATCCTGAGCAACTTCAACCACGAGCGGTGGACCATGGCTTGTAAGTCTTATTTTCCCTCTTCCCTCGAACAGATGGCAACTTTTCCCTTCAAGACAGAGCCGCATCGGGACCGACTAACTGTGATGAATTAGGTGCCACAATCCGCCAGTGCCGGACCATTGTCGAAGAGTGCCTTCTCTGGGCGAACCAGCGCCTCGTCTTCGGCAAGAAGCTCATCGACCAGCCCGTCATCCGCCTCAAGTAAGTCCTCCTCCTCTTCCCCTCACCTCCCCCGAGCAAACGACAACAAGCTGACGCCTCCTGTGCCCGACAGGCTTGCCAAGATGATCGCCCTCACCGAGGCCAACCAGTCCTGGCTCGAGACTATCACCTACCAGATGAACCAGATGCCCTACAAGGAGCAGGCCAAACACCTGGGCGGGCCCATCGGCCTCCTCAAGATGAGCGCGACCCGCGCCGCCCACGAGATCGCCGACGAGGCAGTCCAAATCTGGGGCGGCCGCGGCCTCACCCGGACCGGCATGGGCCGCGTCATCGAGATGTTCAACCGCACCTACAAGTTCGACGCTATCCTTGGCGGCGCCGAAGAGGTCCTCGGCGACCTTGGTGTCCGGCAGGCCATGAAGTTCATGCCCAAGGCGAAGTTGTAAATCGCCCCGTCATCGTCGGCGTGGTCAGCACCGCCGGCACAGACACACATGAAAACCTCTTATTCCGAGACTAGGGGACCGTATAAGTGCTATATAGGGCATTCGCGAGGTTGCATTGTAGAAGCTTTTTTTTGTTTGTCCCTTTATCTTCAGGGATATAACGGCTATTACGAGGAAGAGGGCGAACGAACTTGAGTTAAAAGAATAGACGAGGCTCTCTCTCTCTCCCCCCTTTGAATCCCCCTTTTTTTTTTGAGTTTGTGGACAGACACCCCTTTTTCTAAGCTTCTCCAGAGTTCCGTGAAAACGTGCAGGTCTAAAAGGCTCCTCGGATTGAATAGCAGACAGCTGTAGAGGGACCAGGGAGCCGTTTCAACCGCCGTTGCATTTTTCTTTTTTTCCCTTCCATCTTCTGCCCCCCCTACCCCCAAAATGTTTCTGGGCAAGTAGGGCCGACGAGTCACCCCAACAAACTCCCTACTCATGATACAACGCATGGAATTTTCGGCTCAGATACGACACGGAGAAGAAAACTACCAGGGACGGAATCGCGCGGCGGAAAGATTTCCAGGGGACTAATAGTGGTGGGTGCATTTCAGCTGTGGCATCAGACTCTCACTTGGAGCATCATCGGTCGTAGTAACTTCTAGACGACAACACGGAACACATGTTGGAACCATCGAGTATGACGCAAACTTTCCATTCCCTGCCCCGAACGACAGCCATGGCCGCTTAGAACGGCCCACACTACTGTCTAGGTCGTATCGAGAGCCCTTTCCCGGCTGCTCAACAGGACCGACCAATATCTATCAGAGTCGAAAGGTGTCCGGCCTGAGAGGAGGCCCTCCCCACTCTGCTCTTCTCTCTCTCATTCATAAACCAGAGAGAGGTTCAGTGCAAGCTTGTTCCCCCTAAGCGTTGCCGCCATCGTCATCCAAACGATCCGACCAACCCCGCATTTTGCCGAGGTTGACGACCAAATGCGAAAGGTGTATCTTTGGTGCGTTAAGAAAAAGCCGTGATTCATATGCCGTTGTCCGTGTAAAACTTTTCCGCAGGCCGAGTCCCAGAGTTGTTTGCCGTGAGAACATGAGAGCAAGGAAGAAACAAGAAAAAAAAGGGGGGGAAATCGGAAAAAGGAAATGTACAAAGCATCCGCAATGCCAAGTTGATCGCATAAGTGAGCCACGGTGGGCATCGAAGCCGTCGAATTGTCCCCAAACCGAAACTGCCATTCAGGCAGAACACTCATCGCCGATAGCCGTTGCACACTTAGTTGTTGGGGCACTGGGACTGGACATGGCCGGGCTGCTGGCACTTGTAGCAGATCTTCTCGCCGCCGGAAGACTCCTTAGGGCAATCGCGGGAGAAGTGGCCGTTCTCGCCGCAGTTGTAGCACTTGGAGCCGTTGGTGCAGTCGCCTGTGAGCATGTCAGTAAGGAAGAGACAATTCATGGGTCCGGCCGAAACTCACGAGACATGTGGCCGTAGCCGCCGCAAGAGTAGCAGGTCTTCTGGCTAGCACCGCCATAGCCGCCACCACCGTAGCCGCCACCGTAGCCGCCTTGGCCGCCGCCGTAACCACCACCAGACTTGGGGCAGTTGCGGGCAATGTGACCGACCTCACCGCACTACCAATGTATTAGCATCACGACTTAAGACTCTCAGGTTCGGAGGCGGATCAACCAACCTTGTAGCATTCGGAGCTGGAGGGACCGCCGCCGCCGACGTTGCCTCCCTGGGGGCAGTCACGGCTGATGTGGCCAGCCTGGCCGCAGCGGTAGCAGGACTTGGTGTCCTTGGGGCCCTCAGGGCAGTCACGGCCTTGGATCATGTCAGTAAAGAAAATACGAATAGTTGTCTGATCCGGACGTCGACCTACTCATGTGACCCTCGTCTAAAGCAGACATTCGTCAGTCATTTCATTGGCATCAGGGCAGGCATAAAACTCACTACCACAGTTGTAGCTATGCAATGTTAGTATATGTCAGGTAGATTGATCAAAGAGCATCGACATACCACTTGGCGGCGCCACGGTTAGGGCACTCGCGGGCCTAATTATTGTCAGTACGTCGAAGGCCGAAATCGATCATTCTGTCCTATGGCATACCTGGTGACCAGCAGCACCGCCTAGATTTCACTTGTCAGACTCTTGCGCTCATTTCAACGTGCTAACATAGTAGGGAATGTGTGATTCAGGTGTCACTGGCACGCCGGCTCAGAGTCAGTAGGATATCGCAGTAGAGACAGCGTGCGGGATCTTGACAAATCCGTTCCACCGGACGAGAAGCTGGCAAGTAACGCAACTGCCAGGCTCTCTCCGTCGGATTACATGCCCCAATCAACAAGGCAGGGCCTTTCGGAATAGCCTTCTCCAACTGCGAGCAACAAAAACAAGACTGGCTGGATTGAGACGCAGAAAGTCCAATAGAGCAGCTGTCTGTCTGTGAGCGCTGGGACAACGGTTCAGGTCAAACAAGCCGCACAAACGGCCGCCAATAGTATTTTGACGTGGCTGATTTGTGAAGCGGGAAGAACCCAGTGAACCAACCAATGGTAACTAGATCTCGGGATAAGATCCGATACCATCTGACCCCAAGCAGCCCACAGAAATGGAAGTGGAAAGAAAAAATAAAAATCAAGATAAAATCCAATCAGGGGGCCGCAAGCAGCACCTGGAGGACGGGCGGGGGCAGTGGCGAGAGGAGGAAAGAAAATGCAAGTTCAAGTTAACTCACAGGTGAAGCAGGTACGAGCCTGGGGAGGAGCGCCAGCGGATCCTTGGAAATCCATTGCGATTGATATTTGTTGGTTAAAGGGTCCTGATCTGGAAGACGTGTTAGGAGGCACGAGGGCTGATGAAGATAATTTGAGGTGTCGTTGGAAGGATTGAGCCAAGGTTTCGCGGGGAAAGCGAAAAAGAAAGGTCTAGGAGGCGAAGGGAGGTGCGTGGTTGTGGTTTGTTGCGATGTAATGTAATCGAGGTAGGGAGGGGCAAGTGGCATGTGTGCAGCGATGTGGAGAAGTTGGAGATGGAGGTGGTGCGTGTGCACTCTGCCTTCGTAAGATAGACAGAAGGTGAATGGGGGGTGGGTGCCCGCCCCAGCTGTGTGTGCTGCTGATTCCGGACGAGCTGGCGGTGATGGCAGAGGCTGATTGATTGAAGACGCCCCCGTAGAACGATTCCGGAAGGACGTGGTTTATGGCACGGGAGGAACGAGAAGAACACCAGTACTTACAAATGAAGGAGTGATGTCGGGCCGGGAGAAATCTCTGCTCAAAAACACAAGAAGGAGGGGGTTTGGTGAGGGTTTTCAATAGTGGTGGTTTGTGTTGTGGGAGAGATGGGGAGGAGAGCAGCGGTTGCGGCAGGGAGTGATCAAGGTTAAAAAAGAAAAAGCAGCCAATTCGCATGTCAGACCGCCTTGTGGAGCCAAAGAAAATCTGGTAGAATGGGAGGCGCGGAGCACCAATCAAAGAGACAAGTCCATTGCCGTCGGGGAAGTGCAAGTCTCTGCGTCTGTCACACACACACACACACACACACACACACCCTCTCTCTCTCCCTCTCTCTCTCTCTCACTCTCACTCTCTCAACTCTCTCTCTCTCTCTCTCACACACACGCACTTTGGTTTTTACCCCCAGTGCTCGAGCAAGTACCTAGATAGGTAGGTAGGCAGGCGAGCACACGCACGCAGGCATTGTTGCTTGCCCATGGTTGAGTGGGTGGATGTTGAAGGCGAACATGGAGACTTCAGCTCCGGGCTGCCTTGGATATGCGTCTCTGCTCTACCTATCTAGTAACCCTGATCGGCCAATGCTGTGCCAATCTTGGTGATGCCGTTGATACCGTTATTGCCAACACGCCGCCCGTATCTTGAGGCTCGCTTCCTTATGAAAGGTGATAGCCATTTCATATCGCCACTTGATTTGATCATGACAGCGTGCACTTCTAGCACGTCTGTGGCTGGCCAAGCCTAGCTTTGGGCCGCCCCCCGTAGCCCTGGGAGCGCCTCCAACGCCATACTATATGTACAATACCTAGCCGTAGGTGGGATTGTGCTTCCACTTCATGCTTTTACGCTGGCGCGGTACATGTCGTCCCGCTGCCTCGGTGGATGACGCAGGGCTACCTAATGCAGCGTCGGGAAGCAGCCTGGATTTTGACGTCTGTAGCACTCCCCCAGTGGATATAATGAATGAATGCGGGCAGGAAGGCATGTTTCCTGGCTTTGAGGATTCCGAAAAAGAGGAAACAAAACCATTTTCCCGATAAGGTGGATAGGGAGGGAGGCACGGACGTGAACTCGAGGTTTTGGACATATGGGTTCATGCTTTTCCGCAGACACCAGGGACTCGAACTCAAAGGCAGGCGACTTTGCAAATTCAAATCCCCAGCGACCTGTACTCCAGACCAGGTTGGTCGTTGTTCGCGATCCTCTCATTTTCCCCTCACACTCTACATTACATTGCGTTGTGATGCGTTGCGTCGCTGTGTAGCCAGTCACCTGAAGCCTAGATGTCCTCGTCCTCGTCTCTCGCCGTTCTCCTTTGCCGACTCCAATTTTTTTTTCTTGGTGGTTTTTTTTTTCCTCCCCTGCCATGGGGATTACGAAAAATACCTAGCCCATCAGAAAATTCAGCATCATGAAAACAGGCAGGTGGGGTACCCCCTGTGCAAGAATCTATAAATCGCCGAAGAGAGCAGGCAAAATGACAGGCCAGACCCGGCCCAGGCGCTGTGAAATGCGATGCCCCTCCCCAAAACCCAATGAGGGGTCATGAATCCTGTATTTCGCGCCACTGTGCTCCCGTCCCTTGCATCGCTCCCTGCCCTGAGCACCCCTCATCACACGCTCGCTCCTCTTCGCACTTGTCCCCGACGTTCCCCAGTTCAAAAGCGGGCTCTGATAAGTCCCTTGCCCCCCTTCTCATGCAGAAAGAAATCTCTGCTAGAGAGGAACTCTGGCTCACACTGTGCAAACGCCCATTCGACTCAATGCCACGCACCTGGTGGGCTCACTCGAGCCGGGCCTAGGTAGATAGCAGATAGTAGATAACCTGGACTGAAGCCGAGGTGATGCGTCTCGTGCATTGTTGGCCTGGTGGTCTCGGTTCCATATCTGTACACTATACGGAGTAGTACGGAGTACATGGTCTGATACCCCGCGACTCCTGTGACACATGCCTCTATGTGGCCCTTCCTCTACTACGCACGTATGCCGAAGAGAAGCCAGGTCGAAGAAGCTTTTGGTATAGACCCCTCAACCAGGATAACGCATCCAAACATGGATACTTGGACAAAGAGAGGCTTGCCGCGTCAGTGTTATCTGTATCCAGGCAGATTCCGCCTTAGTCAGGGAAGCAGTCCGAAACTCCCCAGCTAATACCGAGGGTCTGTCTTGTCATGTTTGGACACACGGAACACATCAAAGAAGTTTTTGGATCGACTCTCCAGATTGGCGACGTCCCCGACATCAAACCTCCATGAGAGACTTGACTGTCAGCTCAACCTTCCTTCCTGCCTCGAATTGAACCTACGACACATCACTGGAGGAATTGACTCACAAATCCCCAAGAGTTTCATTTCACTCACTTGGGTTTCATAAACCTGGTGAGCCACGCCATGCAAACGAACTCTGCCCGAAGATTGGTTCGTTCGTTCCATTAGGATGTAGCTCCGGACCGGTCAGATTTGCTATGCTCAATCTCGGCCAGTCTTCCATTTCAGGCTGGGGCTAAGCTTTCCCGCCCAAACGCTCGTGGAGAGGAGACCGGATGAACCTGGCCATCCATTTTAACCGACAGCCACTCGTTACTCTGTGCCGGCAATTCCAATCATCTACAGACACGGCCTGGAGATCAGTTCCTTTCTCAAATATGCTACTCTCTTGGTGCACTAAGTTGTTGGCTGACGGCCATGTTCCATTTAACGTTCCTTCGCTTGGCTAGCGTTTCTGGAACAAACATGCAAGGGCAGGGTTCAGCGTGCTGCTTAAATCCATGTATTGCAGGCTAACCTAGATAGGTGACGTGTGCGTCTCGTGTCCAGCGGCTACAGCAGCACCGTTTAAACGAACAGCTCATGGACCTTGGAATGAAGCGGCGGTGATGGCGACCTGCCCGAAGGAGCTGCGAATGGAGACGCCGGGACAGCATGACGGTATCAATGCATCTATAAAAACAGGTAGCCACCATCGCCTTCGAGTGAGGTTCTGGTGGTGGGGAATATACCGGATCACTCACCTCTTCGAGGCCGTGCCGGCAGCGCAGGGCGCTAGGGCGGCATGTAACCACAAAACCACTCCAGTCATATGTAGAAAGAAACTCCTCGCGAGTAATGAAAAGATGACCAGCAGCATGAGTCCTGCCCTTGGACATTAGCATTCGTCTACTGGAAAGCCTACTGCTCGACCTCCGAGCGAAGACGTGCCATTGAGTGGCAGCTTGATACCGGTCAACCACTGCCATTCCGGAAGGAATGAAACTTCAATATATTGTAGGGCCAAGCTGTAGATCGGGTATGAAGTAAAATGCGCTCTTGTCAAATACCTGCCATCACTCTAACCAAAGCCAATTTTGGTCTTGGGATTATCATGTCTAGAAGTATTGGCGAATGCTTGCAGGACCCTTTCTAGCTCTAACCTGGGCCTTGGAGATTCGGACGGTCAGATGATTCCACGGCCCATAGTCTAAATGACAACTGACGGGCTGTGTCAAAGAGCTGGAGAGCAGAGTATTTTGATAGATAAACGGACCCATGCCGTATCTACTCTGTCCTACGACGATCGGTCGCCAGGATTGTTGCCTGTTGAAGACCTGCCGGGCCGAAAGACCGCAGTCCGTGGACCCGTCAAGGGTATGGCCCACGCACTAGCCAGAGTGTTTTCTATCCTGACTTTTCTCGGAGTAGCCGTAAGAGGTCCACTGTCAATCACAAGCCATCTCAGCCGTACCAATCATTGCCGAAGTCGATGTTACAGAGAGTGCTCGTTGACCGTGCCCCACTGAAGCTTTGCTTGGATTAAATTCTGTCTGCGGGCGGAAATGGCTCCGATGCACTCATTCACTGTTTGACAAGTGGGAAATGTGTGAAGAGAATCAGACCTTCTCTGGGGGATCATGCGTAGGCACATTTCCAACCTCGAATATTCGAGGCCTCAGGGGAAGAAGAGCAAAAGCTCCGATTCCGAAACGATTTATCGCGTGATGTACTGTCCAAGATGGAAGTGCAAGAAAGGGTATAGTCACTCGGAGTTGCTGTGAAGGAGATCCATGGTGACATCGTAACGATTGTTGTACCAGTAGTTTGTTTGGCAGCTGTGGCTTGGAAGGACACTTAAGCCCCACAACAGCTGCTTACACAGGCTTGCACTTGGATGTGGCGAATGCTCCGAGCTCTGGGCATGACGCGCTGAAGGGAAGTCGCGTCTGTGTTGGACACAACATACGAAAACCACTCGCTCCAGCCACTAACACCAAACGCCAAAATTTCAGCCTCGCATGCATCCTTGACGACAACTCTCGTCAGGCGTCATGGAGAGCTGGTCCCCGGAGAGCCGGGCGGCAGTACAGAATGCTTTCAATGCATTGCGTGAAACCATTAGCAAAGAGGCCCAGAACGGTACGTGCAACAACACGTCCTGACGTAATGGCATGCGATACTAGCTTGTTGAAAAGAAGTCGAGCATCGTTTGAAAGAAGACAACCGAACACGCGTACTTCTTACCGATGAGCTCGAAATACTGAGGTCCCGCTCCGCCGAGGTGGATCGCTTGGAAGAAGAAAACCGAAAACTCAGGACGAAACTGCTGCAATTCCATCAACAAACCCGATCTACCGAGTCATCGATTGACAGCCCCCGCTCGAACTATGTCTCCCGCGACCAAGGTACCAATACAGACCCCATTTCAACAGTCACCTTTGAAAAAGGCAGTGAGTCGGAACAAGTCATGCGCGAGAGCCAAAAACTCCGCCGGAAATACAATGCACTGGACCAGAACTTTAAGATTCTCAAGTCAGAGTTCAACAAGAGGAGGAATGAGAACAAGAGATGGGAGGAATACGCAACAAGTTTGGAAGCCAAGATAAAAACCTTTAAGCAGTCGCGAAGGGAGCTAGACGAGGACACGCATTCAACAGAAGCTTTACCAGAACCTAGTAGACCTCAGGCTGTCTTGACCTCAAGCTACGCTTCAGATCCCGGAGATGGGCCAGCATCGACGCGTTGGACTGCGGAATTCACAGGGCATATTCCCCTTGAACCCGTTCCTGCTGCAACCACTTCTACAGCCATCACCGCCATTACTCCTCCAGGAAAGGACACAACCCGGGATCCAACGCCAGGAGAATCGACGGAAGGGGAAACAACAGAGGGCAGTAAGGATGAAGATATTATTACCCTTCCACCTCTGAGACAACCTCCCAAAACCGATTCTGATATTCGCATCAAACCAGAACCCTCCTCTGATGGTCCGGTTGTTGTGTCGGAGCGCTTTGTTGGCAAGAGAAAACATTCGGATGACTGCTCCACCGAGCAACAAGGACGACGTCGAATCAAGGTTGAGAGCTCGAATATTACCGGAGGCCCTTTCACCAGCCAACTTCAACAAGAGAGCATGGACCTAGACGAGGTTGGCCAGAAACTTAGTACGCCGAGAAAGAACAGAATATTACCCACTACCGTCGTCGAATCAGAACGGGTGGATACTGGAAGGGCGAAGACAACCGCTCCCTTGTTTGTCAGACCTGACAACACGAGTACGCCGACAGCAAGAAATCTTGACTCATCAACAGTTTTGACGCCTGTCAACCCCAATGCTCGTCCGGTGCGGCCATACGAACTTAAGACTGTGGAAAAGCAAACCAAAAAAGGGCTCTCCCAAGGCATAGAAAGCCTTGCCGAAGACGGACTTGTCTATAAGAAGTCAGGCCGTGGGGTGCCGGCCGAAGCACAGCTTCGCACACCACAGCCCACTGGTCGCTTAAGCACGCTGTTGAACATGCCATCCCCGGAGCAGACTCCTGCCATAGTACGGTCCGCACCGCGGCTTCGTGGGCCGCAATGGGCGTTGGCAGACGATGGGCTTCAATTTCCTGAGCGCCGGGAGCTGCCGTTTAGCAAGGAGCATCGGGAGAGATTGAAAGAAACCACTGCTATTCGAAATGAGCTCGACGAGACTGTTAAACATGGCACCCCACGCGCACTTGCTCGGAACCGTAGCGGGGCTCACACGCCATTACCCGCAGTTAGAGGATCATTACGAGCAAAGCCCATGGCCGACATGCGTCTTGAAGATTTCAAGGTGAATCCGAAGTTCAATGACGGTTCGGATTACGCATATTCGGAGGTTGTCAGAGGCAAAGACGACAGGGCTTGCTTACCTGGCTGTACCGACATGAATTGCTGCGGGAAACAGTTCCGTGCCATGGCACACGCCCAGAGAAACAATGTCGAACGCACACCGGCGTCAGACACCAAGCTTTTCGAAGACTACCTGGGTGACAGGGTCGCAATCACTTTGGGGATGTCCAAAGCAGAAAAAGACGAGTTGTGGGTCGAAGCCAAGACATGGCAGCTTGCTAACGAGCTCGGTAAGCACCGTCACCGATATGCCCGAAGACCGTCTCCCCCGGGTTTCTGGAACGCGGATTTTCCTACCACACAAGAGGTGGAAGATGAGAAGTCTGAAGCCGAGAAAAGGGAGAGGCAGTTGATCCAGGAGAGGTACCGTGAGGCGATGAGGGGCGGGGGGCGGTGGATGTTCAGGGACGAATGAAACTGCGTTCGAAAATCGCCAATGTCGCGCATCGATGTTCCAATAGCTACAGCCGGCAGTTTGCGGCGTGTTTTGTGATGGCATAACTTCTTGATTGAGGCGTTGTAACTTTCCAAGCGAATGGCGCAGGGACTTCCCTTAATTCCCTTCCGAGCTACTTTTCTCATAGATAAAATACTCATCTGTCATCATCTCTGGTCGAAGAGCGAAAGAGGATATTGTTACTGATCGCTGTGTGGCAAACTATATCCTCCAAGTAAATACAGATCTCAAAGGCAGAAGACCGCAAAAGCAAAGGGTTGAGCGCAGACAAATGACGAGATGCCAATTGCCACAGGACATTCCACCTGAGCGCGGAAACACGCACGTTGTCTTAACTGATGTCTTGCTCTTGAGCGACGAGGCCGAAAACGATAGGGCTGAATATATTGCGGCTGTTCAAGGACTGACTACACCGAGGGCAGCATTTGATTGCTCCGTCACGAAGTTTAGGCCCATCATATCAGGATAGGAGCTGAGCAAACGGATCCCATTCGTTGTTTAGATAGGTAGGTACCTGGGGGTGTCAAGTGCTTGAGTGAGCTCACCTCGAAGACCTTCCCGTTGAGACTACCACTGGTGGGGCCGACTTCGGGCAAATCACGGAAGAACAGGCCGCGAGGACCAAAACGCGGCCAGTGCGCAAGGCTTGCGGCTCACTCAGGCAGTTGTATTGCGCCAACAAAGCCGGAGCCCGCTACCCGCTAGCTCCAGCTGGGCCTTTCCCGCGCGCGGCTTAATTTTTTGTCATCTCTGTCGGAAGCAACCGCACAGCTCATCACCTGTCGCCCTGTCCCAGTCGACCACCCTTCACCATCGCCGCCTCCTTCGCAGCCTGTCTTCCTCACGTCTGCCCGGTGAAACACTGTCGACGACCGACACTGCTGCGCCCGTCCGGTGTCTGAGTAGGGTCCTTCCCTTCTGCCGCCCCCCGCAAACCACGAGAGGGTGACACACGACCTGCGAGCGTTTGGATACATTGCCCTCGCGCATTCTACGCGACCAAACAACTTAACAATCGAGCCACGAATTGACTACCGTTTCACCTGTCGACGCTTCATTGCGACCGCGCCGACGACCGCTTCGAAGAAAGCTGAAGCTACAAGGCAGTGATAGTTCCAGCCGTGGACGATCACTGCACCTACACAACTCCCAAGCCGGCAGGATGAACAATCGTCATCTGCCGGCTGGGCAAGCCATGCCGGGAGGTGGAGGACCAGTAGGCGCCGGAGGAGTCGATATGGGTGGCGGACCCGGAGGAGGTAACAGACGGAGGATGCAGCAACAGCCGACGTACGCGCAATACCAGCAACAGCAATACCAACAGCACATGCCCATGTATCCGAACTACATGAACCCCTACGCCGCGGCGCCTTACTACCACCAGCTGCCACACCAATACCAGAATGGTGGTATTCCCTCTGGCTACATGCACTACCAGCAACAGCAGCAGCCCTATGTTCGGTCACCACAGGCGATGCCTCAGTACGTTCCCATGGCTGGCGTCAGCGTTCTTCAGCCCTACACCCAACCGCCTCAGCCGTCTCCTGCTCTTTCAACGCCTTACCAACCGCCTCCTGTTCCTACTGCCATGCCTGTTCAGTCGCCGCCCCCGCCGCCTCCTCCGCCTCAGCCTATTGAGCCGACTCCTGAGCCTCCCGTCATCACGCCTCCCGTCGTAGCCTCCTCGGTCGTTTCTTCTTCAGCCGTCACGCCTTTCGCCGAGCCGTTCTATGCTTCAGTAACTGCAACCCCTGCACCCGTCTCCGTCCCGCAGAGTCCAGAGCTTCCCAAACAGAATAAGGATTTCCGGGCACCAGTAAGTCTATCTATATACCCCACCAGGTGAATCGTATTGCTAAACGACTAAAGCTTCCGTGGACACCACCGGGCCAGACTCCTTTCCCAAGGAGAGCTCCCAAGTCAAGACGGCGGAGAAGATTGATGAGCGCAAACGCGCAAGATCTGACACTGCCTGTGGAGCAACACGAGGGCGCTTTGGAGTCTAACGCTACCGCCGGTGAACTATCCGCCAAAGCGGGCGCGACGGAGGCGCGCGATGCGATAGATTGCTCAGCACCGAAGGCCGATTCCAAAAAGACGGTCTTTTGGAACCCCAAAGACACCGAGTCGGAGAGCGCAACTCTTAGGGCTGACTCCTTGGCGTCCGAAACTCCTAAGGAGAGTGACAGATCGGCGACCAGTGTGTCAAACGCAGGCAGCCCCAAGGGTAATGCGTCCGAGACTTCCAGCGCGAGACCCACGACGAGCTCCTCCAACATTTCCGCCTCTCGTCCTGCTGTTCCCGTTATCCCTGTCATTCCCGTTCTCCCCAAGAGCAGCCCCAAGGAAAGCAAGCCCAGTGAAGAGCCGAAGCAGCCCGTCGCCCAAGAGGTAAAGTCCGCGGAGACGGCCGAGGCGAGGGATACTACTGCTGGTGGGCAGGAGAAAGCCGATACCCAACCAGCAGCTCCTGTCAAGGCGGCCCCAAAGACGTGGAGCGGTCTCTTCTCTGCTGCAGCTGCGGCTGCTGCCAAGGCTCAGCCCAATGCCAACGGCTCTGGTGCTCCGGCGGCAACCAACGGTGCTTCTATCAATGGAGACGGTTCGGTCAACGGTAGTGCTTCCAGCTTTTCTGCAGGAAATGCCAACTCCTTGGTCGCTGCTATCCAGGACTTCCGCGTTAGTAACCCGGCCAAGGTCCAGTTCATCGAGCCGAGAGGCCTGATCAACACCGGCAACATGTGTTATATGAATTCAGTGGGTTATCTCTCTGTCCGTGTGGCCGCCTACAATGCTTACAAGCTCAGGTTTTGCAAGTTCTTCTCTTCTGTGCACCTTTCTACAACTTTTTGGATCAGGTCAGCAAGAGGGCCGTTCACAAGTTCAAGAGCGACACGCCCGTCATCGACGCCATGTAAGTTGTAATGTCTGCAGAAAGGAAGGCCTGACGACTAACCCGTAACAAGGATTATGTTCATGAGGGAATTCCGGGTCATAGACGCCACCGATTCAGTGGAGAAACTTCGCCGCAAACTCAAGAGTGAGCAGCTGGAGCAGTATGGAGAATCGTTCATCCCGGAGTTTGTCTACAAGGCCATTCAGCCTCTCCCAGCGTTTGCGAGCATGAGAGTACGTTGCCACCTTCCTTCAGCAAAGTTGCCAGCTAATGTCTTTGCAGCGTGGTCACCAGCAAGATGCTCAAGAGTTCCTCGGACTGATTCTGAACGCCATCGACGAGGAGTGCGCCCAGGTCATATCTGCGGGTGGCGTCGCAAACGGACTCGCCGAAGCAAGGCCGGCATCATCTGCTGCCAGCGTTGTCGAGTCCAATGACGGCGCGGACGGATGGTTCGAAGTTGGATCTAGACAGCGAGCCGTCGAAACTCGCTCTTCTGGGGCCAGTTCGACGACGCCCATCACTCGACTGTTCAGTGGGCAGTACCGGTCAGAGCTTCGTCGCCCTGGCGTCAAGGACTCCGTCACCACGGAGCCTTTCCAGTCGCTGCAGCTGGACATCGGCGCTCCTCACATTCACAACGTTGTGGATGCCATCAAGGGCCTGACTGTGCCAGAGAGACTTCAAGGCGATGCTGCACCTATGACGAAGCAAACGCTAATCGAGACACTGCCGCCGATTCTCATCCTCCACCTCAAGCGCTTCAAGTTCGACACTGAGGGAACCACGAAGATCGGAAAGAAGGTTGGCTACCCGCTCGACTTGCAGCTTCCTGCGGAGGTGCTCTCGAAAAGACGACGCAATGCGCTTGTTGCTGAGGGTGCGCCTATGCCCAAGTACAGGCTCATCGGTGTCGTCTACCACCACGGTAAGCAAGCCAACGGCGGCCACTACACGGTGGATGTGCGACGGCAAGACGATAACGAGTGGATCCGGCTGGATGATACGGTCATTCGACGAGTTCGCAGCGAAGACGTGGCCGAAGCAGGCACTGAGGAAGATGTCAAGGAGGCTGGCCGATCCGGCCCTGCGTCCCGGGACGCCTCGACCAACCGGTTCGGTGCCATGGCCGACGAGGACGAGGGAGAGGGCTGGAAGGAGGTCACGACCTCGGCCAAAGGCGGAGACAAGAGCGGCGAGAAGAAATGGAGCGCGGTTGCCAATGGCAACGGTTCTGCCCTCAAGGGTAAGGCCGTCAAGGACAACATCAAGGACAACAAGGTCGCCTACCTGCTATTCTACCAACGAATCTGAGGACCAGGGGGGATTTGTGGTCAAAGGACAAACAGAAAAGAGCGGGTTAACGGCGCGTGGGGATGGACAAGTGTGAGGGGCGGCGCTTCAATCTGTGGAGGCGCGGAACAACGGCCATACCGCCAAAACAGATTGAAATGTACAGAGCAGCGACAGCAGAGGGATAGAGGGGTTCCGTTATGGTATCGCCACGTTCTTCTATCTACGTTCGACTATGCATATTTACGGCGGTTTCGGTTGGAAGGATTTCATTTTCAACATTCCGGCGAGAGTGGCAAGCAAAAGTTGTCAGGCTCATCTGCAGAATGTCGTGGAGGCTTTCCTATGGTTGTCTGGACTGGCGATGGTTCAAAAAAAATTGAGAAGGGCGCAGAGGAGGGGAGGAACACAGTTGGGGGTGGTTTGGGGAGGAGAGCATAGCTTGTTGGGTGTGTCCGGGCGATCGGCTAGAATTGTGAAGACGGATGGGCCGAAATGAGAGAATGGGTGGGTGGGTGATGAAGAGTCAATGAAAAGAGACAAGGGCTGAAGTTTCGTCCCTGTAAATATAAAAACCATTGATGACGAACCTGTGTGGCTCCGTTGAGATGATGTGAGAGGGGCAGAACACACGTCGTTGTGTGTAAGCCGCTGGCGAGGCTTCCGCACGGAAAGTGGGACTCGTCCGAAGAGGAAAGGGAATGGCACAAAACCTCTCAAACCCAGTGCTAACCATAAGCTCCTTCCCCCTCCTCGCCGTATCCTATCAATCAAAAAACGGTAAACCTCTTGGCAAGAAAGGAAGGAAAAGCAAGAAGAAGAAAAGAAGAAAAGAACATAGCACGCCTGTACACGCCTACGCCCACACACATACACACACACACACACACACACACACACACACACACACACACACACACACACACACACACACACACACACACACACAGCACCGCACCACCAAGAGCCCGGTCGACTACACGATGCCCGCCCCTACGCAGATGCCGCAGTATCTCTACAAGATCGTCCCCGAGGCGCCGCCGTCGCCGCTGCCGGCCGAGTACCCCCTCTCGGACCTCGATCGGAACGACGGTTTCATCCACTTGAGCACCGCCGAGCAGGTGAGTTCCGCCGCTCCGTACGCTGCACGCACTCCCGGCCGGCGTTGGTCGAACGCAATCTGCTCCCCCTCCCTTTCCCCTCCCCTCCGCATCTCACATGCATCCCCTTCTCGGTCTCTCCCGCCTGATGGATATTTCCAAACCCCCGCCCCCCCCCCCAAAAAAAAATCCCCCAGAAAAGAAGCAAGAAAGAAAAATAAAAAATAAACCCCGAGAAGAAAAGAAAACAACACTGACGGAAGTGAAACCCTTCCGCCTCCCAGGTCCTAGGCACGGCGGATCGCTTCTTCTCCGGCGCTACCAGCCTCTGGCTCCTCAAGCTCCCCTACGCCGTCCTGGAGGCGCAAATCCGGTGGGACGAACTCCCCGCCGGGGCCGGCTGCTTCCCGCACCTGTACGGGCGCAACTTTGGCGCCGCCGACGTCGCCGACGCCCGCGGTTTCACCAGGCCTGAGGGGCGGGCCTGGAGCGAGGTTCTCCGGGGGGGAGCTTGGCTGTCGTGAACGCAACGCAGCTTGCTAGTCCGCTCTGTCATTGGGGGGTTGATCACCTGTGGCAGTTTCATACACGCATACTTTTGGCTGGGACGAGAGAGAGAGAGAGAGACTACACATGTTAGTCTGTATCGACAGCCGTGTCATCGCTTTATCAAAAAGAGAAACGCTGGTTGATGAAAGAAAAGAGACGCATGTCGTCCAAAGCCAAATGTGCAATTGCTTGCTATACGGTGTTTCTAATGCCTCTCGGGCTGTCTTGCGTCAATATCAGACAAACGTCTCGTGTTCTGGGCAGCTTTGCCTGCTCTTCATTCCCCTCGGCTCTGACTCTCGTAATGCCAACGGTGACCAAAAGAAAAAAGAAAAAGAAAAGCACAAAAAGGAGGCTAGTTATGCTTTTCGCTCATTGCATTCCCTTGACCCTCCCCCTCCCAACATGAGTACAATTCATCGTCACCTCATCTCATAGCAAAACGTGCAACGTGATCAAACCGTACCCGTGACCCTCCCTTCTTAGACCCATCCCAGCCCCGGCTAACTCCATATGAATAAGCCTTCTATCACATCCAGGATGAGGTGGGAGCTACGAAGGCTAAAGGCCCACGGGGCAAGGTTTCCTAACCGTGCGAGACGTCTTCTCGCGCATGCAAAAAACAAATGAGATTTCAGCCTAGAGGCTGTTTCGCTGTAGTCGCTCCGTCGTTCACTTATGATGACCACTTGACGTCCGAACTTGGGGCCCTGCTCCGCCGCTTATTGGCCATGCTTGTCGGAGGAACTGGCGATGCGGCAGGCGCTGATACGGCCGACGCGTTCCTGCTTACGTTCTCTTTATTTGACAAAGAACTCTCAGACCTCACCAATGGAGGCTGCCCGGACGAACTGCTCGGTCTTGCGAACGAGTGGCGAGGTAATCTGCTCTTCCCCGATGATGAACTGGAAGGCATACTTGAGGAAATCTCGCCGCTCACCCGCCTGGGGATGCTCGTAGCGCCGTCTCTGCTTCGCGGACGGTAGAGAATGGCTTCCCGCTCCTGGACAACCGTCCGCCGTGGACTTGCGGCCACCTCAATAAACGCGCCGCCGGACCCTGGTGGTACCTGGGATAACCGACGGTGGCGGGTTTGTGTTGGTGTGGCAGGCATCGATATCGCGTGGTGAAGTCCTGGCGGAGTGAAGGAGGATTTACGCCTCAGCCCGGACCCTGAGCGTCGAGATGCCACCGACCCAGAAGACCCATTCCTTTCCGAAGCCGTGTCGTACAGCTCGCTCTCGTTGTGTGACTTGACCAGCTCCGATGCGAGGTTGCGAACGAGCACGGCAGTGTCCTTCTCTGCCAGCATTTGGATAGTATCGAATAGAGACCGGACTTGTCTGACGTTCAAAGAGCTGCTGCCGTTGCCCATGCCCAACATCTCCGCGTCGCAAGCGTCCAGGATGTTGCGCACCAGACGAAGAAGGTTGAGTCTGACGACAGCCTTCTTGTGGCACAGTCTCTGACCAATGCCAGCAAACATCTCAGGTTTCGCAAGTGACCCTGAGATTGAAGGGCTTAACCTCAGGAGCTTCAGCAGAGGCTCCAACAGGTTGGCGTCGAAAGAGTTGAGTTTATTTGTGTGGAAACAGGCGACAATCGCGTCTGTGAATTTCCCATCCAGAAGATGACTCTCAACTTTTGCCGTCTCCTCCTGAAGCCAGATGAAGATGGCGTCCAGGGCCGTGACTTGCCAGTATTGGTCCGCCAGAAGCGAAACGTAAAAGTCCAGTCCCTTGTTTTGCCACAGATATCTGCGGCCTTTGCTTCCCGAATGCGCCATATCACACAATATAGGCAACGCAAATTCCTTTGGCGGGCGATCGGTTTGCATAATCTTCATGAGTAAGGGGATGATGCCGCCAACAGCGGCATCTTCCTGTCTCTCCTTGCTCAAGCGACACAGGTTGAACAATGTATTCAAAACCTGGTTGGAAATCTCCCGGAAATGATTGTAGCCCTTCTTCATGCTGTAGCCGAGTACGTCGATGAGAAACTCGATAGCGTCAGCTGTATGGAGCGTTTCTATCGTCGTCGACAGCATCGAGAGGTTTTTGATGAACTTCAGCATCGTGATCTGGTGGTTTGGCGTCATCCGTCGCAAGTCCTTCAAAACGCCTGACCATCTGTTAGTAAGCAAAAAGAGTATTATTGGGGGGGCTAACTGACTCTTCAACACCTGCCTGTCAGCAACAACCTCCTTGACATAATTCTCGGCCTGAGAGAAGAGGTAGAAGATGTTGACAATCCGGCCCTCAATGAGCTCGGAAAGATCGTCTTCGCCCTCCTCGTCGAGCACTCTGTGAAGCACCAAAGCCAGTGGGTACAAAATTTTGCTTCTCGAGAAGATGCGGCAGAAGTCGTTCTTTGGAGTGGGCCCCTGGAGCTCAAAGACGTTCCAGATGCCATTGACGCCGATCAGGACGAGATCCCGGGCATCGTCAAAGTCTTCGTCCAAAAACTCGACAAGAACATTCAAACCACCGGCACTGACAAACATCTGCAGGGTCAATGTTGAAGTCTGGTACATCTGGCGAACAAATGCGGCTGCTTCCAGCCTGATTTCATTCGAGTATTGGCGGGCCGAGAATTTGGTGATGATTGGAATGCCACCCACGAAGCAAAGATTCTCCTGGATCTCGACATCGTCTAGAATGATCTGCCAAATATTAGCGTCCTGCCGTGTCTAGATGTGATCCGGTATCAGGGACTCGACTTACAGTGTTGACGACCTTCAAAAGTGACAGGATCATCTGTTGCCTGCTCTTAACCGTGCAAGGCTCGAGAATTTCCAGAATGGGCAGCAGCCCATGAGCACTGAGAATCAAATCTTTGATCTCGGTGTTTTCCCATAGCAAGGCAAGCTGGGTCCGTTAGCCACTGGTTCACAAAATGTACAGGATCAGCCTCACCAAGTCTTCGGCCAGTTCGCAAAGTTTCTCTTCGCCCTCTGAGGTCTTCAGAGAGCGAACAAGTTCTTCGACCTTGCCTGCCAATCTTGCGTGCCTGTCCCTAGCAATGTTTGCTTCCAAATCCATTTCGTCCCATCCAGGGTCCATGGAGGCGAAAGGGTCATCTTCATCCTCGTCATCGCCCAGCCACGAATTGTTTGAGTATTTGGATAGCACCATGAGGCCGCCATCCTCTGATCCTCTGTCGCTCTCTTCCCTCTCGGTAACCGCATCCTCGGGTCCGAAGATATCGGAAAAGTCTTCGTCACCTTCATTTTCGGCAAATTTCTGGATCTCGATGGATGACCTGGTTCTTCGCATCGGGCGGTCTGGTAACACGGAAGGGCGCAGCTTTGCGCTAGGCGGCCGTCTTGAGGCCCCTGTCACGGGTGACTGTGTTGAACGCGGCAAACTCGTAAGATCGGAAGGATGGAATAGTTGAGGAGATTCAACCTAATTCCATTTAGCAAGGGGGGCACCGAGACTAGACCAAGTCGTCAACATACCTTTTTAACGAACGGGTTCAGTCCATTGTCATTGAAATCACCGTCGTTTTCAAGAAAAAGATCTGAGTAGTCTTCGGTATTCTGCTCTCTGAATGCCAGGTCCGCAGGAGCAGGGATCTCAAACTTGCTGGGGCCAAGCTGCGGCTTGCCGGGAGACTTGGGACGGGAAGAGCTTCTGGCATGTACTGTCTTCCGTGGGCTGGACTTTGGAGGTTGCTGCTGCTGCTGCTGTTTCACGGGTTCTGCGTACTTGTCGCTCTTCTTACGGGACACTGGGCGAATGGTTTGCTCCTGAAACTCAAACTCGGTAAAATGGCGTGGTCCTTTGATCGTCATCAGCTCCCCCTCGAAGTCGTCGTCATAGCTCTCGGAATCGTTCCGGGAGTCTGTAATCGAAGCGAATGCTTTCAGTTTATCAGCAGACAATAAACCACCGAAATTATCCTGAGGCTTCAGATGAGGCAAGTGCAACGCGCTCGGTGAAATGGCAGTCGCGAAGTCGTTGTCCCAGTTGTCGTCATCTAACGGCATGTCAACGCGCGTCTCCTCAGCGGCCCTGGGCGTCGGGCAAATACTTACTAGCTAGCTCAGGGGATCTGAATGCCTCGGGGGTCCTTCTCGATTTTGCAAGGGCCAAAGGCCCCTTGGGCTGGGTAATCGAACTCGGCCGGAGTGGTTCATTGGCGCTGAATCTCAAGCCGGGATGATGGCCTTGCATCCCGGCAAAACCACTCTCGGAACCGGCAGACGCCCTGAGCGAGCTCTCGGAAGACTTGAGGGCTTTATTCCACTGTTTCACTTCTTCCACCGCTTGGCTGAAATTTGCTGGGGCCTTGGAAACGGGAGCGTCGCTTCTTCGGCACCCAATGATCCACGCATGCCGTAACAGTTTTCTTGCCGTCACTCTTAGGTTAGGGTCCTTCTGGAAACATTGCATTAAGAAATCCCGGGATGCCTAGGAGGTATTAGTGATATTTACTTCTCACACATGGAAACGGGGTACCCACTGGTGAGATGCCCTCAGGCAATGGCGGGTGGTCGTCGTTGACAATGGCGAAAAGCGCGGGCATGGCGGCAAGGTTGTGATACGGCGGTTTGCCCAGCAGCAGCTCGATAACGGTGCAGCCCACACTCCAGATATCAGACGCAGGGCTGGCGCCAGAAAGTTGTATGATTTCAGGTGCCATCCAGTATGGTGTGCCGACGACCTGAGCCTCTTTGTCCTGACCTCCGGCGAGTGTGCTTGTCGAGACTCCAAAGTCTGCAAGCTTGACCTTTCCGTCCTTGGTTGTCAGGATGTTTGCGCCCTTGATATCCCGGTGAATAACACCCTGGTCATGAAGATACTGCAGGCCTTGCAGGACCTGGGTCGTGTAGACACCGACTAAGTTCTCGGGGAACTTTCCATATGACTTGCATATCGAGTGAAGAGAGCCGTTTTCGCAGTACCTAGGCCAGGGTTAGCAATGAAGCAATGACGACAAGGAATGAGGGCTTGGCCTACTCTAGAATGATATTGAGACAATCGGCCGACTTGACGAAGCCAATGTACTTGACAATGTTGTCGTGCTAAGCACACGGTCAGCTGAAGCGCTTCGCAAATTGTCAGGCTCAAAGCACTCACATGTAAATTCTTCAAAAGATCGATTTCAGACTAGAAAGAGTCAGTTCTGAATGGGCGGCAGTTGAGCACATGTCCTGGGACCTGGAATGTACCTCAATCATGCGCAACTCGCTCTTGGGCAGGTCAGCGAGCTTGATCTGCTTGACCGCGACGGCCTCGCCGGTTCCCCAATTGAACGCCTTGTAAACAGACCCAAAGGCCCCCTTCCCTAGGCACTCTCCTAATCGCTACATTGTAAGAACCGTCAGCCATGCACTCCTCGCGAATGGTGGCCGTCCAGATCCTCAAGGATTACTCGACGGTCGTATATACGCACGTAGTCCTTCAGGCCCGGATCCTGTAATGCAGAGCTCTCTCTAGGTCCCTGTTTCTCTTTTCGCGGTGTGCTCTGGCCCCTCTCACGGGAGGCGACCACGGCCGCCCTGCCGTTTACATGGTACTGGCGCTCGACGGAGGAGGACGTCGATGAGGGTGGCGACAGGTTGGGCATGGCTGGCGACGAAGGAGACAGCCTGGTGCAGGACCCAGCTCGTCTCTTTCTCTCTCTCCCGGTGTCTCTGTCAATCGGGTTTGGGATTTGTCGCGACAGCCCTTAAAGGGCGGGAACCGTTCCGAGGGAGGGATTGGGTTGCGCCGAAGTCGCAAAGGAACAGCCGAGTGGGAAATCGTCGTGAGACCGCAAGCAGACAGTGATTACGGCAATGGTGTGGAGGGCACGCTGCACATTGCCCAGCGGCAGGACGGCATCCCAGTCGAGTCGTAGTTCGGGGGCGTGCGTGCGTTCGGTCGTTCGGATTGTCGTCGTGATTTCGCAGACGAAGTTGTTTAGTCCGCGGTAATCTCGGCGGGCATTGGCGAGAGGAGGAAAATAAACCAGGGCGAAGGACGAGTGAGGGACGTATGTAGGGCGCGCGAATCGGCGGCAGGACCACTCCCAAATATTGTAATATGCCAACACACACAGGCACACAGGCACACACACACACACACACACAGAGAGAGAGAGAGAGTACACACAGAGTACACAAAGACGTCCAGCGGGCAAAATATGCTTCCAGTTCGTGGATGGGCTGTCGTCTTTTGCCGGGTTCAGAATTCGCGGGCAGAAACAAATGAAGAGGAGGTCCGGCGTTCCTCTATTCCGAGGGGGTGTGATTTACGGTATCTTAAATTTTGTCGTCAAACGACGTCCTGGTTTGGTCTGGTCGATATTACCGGTTGGGCAGTGGAGGGGTTCGAGTCCAAGCAAAACGAGCGGAACGGGGGTGTTGTTCGGTGGGGAAAGGTGCGATAATGGCGTAAGGGCAAGCTAGGGGTGGGTGCCAGAGACAGAAAACAAAATCAAGAAGGGGAAAGGGAAAGGGAAAAGAAGGGACGAGAACAGAAGTAGGACTATAAATCCAGACTGTGACTGAGCCCCTTGAAGAAGGATGATGCCTTTTTTCCTCCTTTTTTTTCCCCTTTTTCTTTTCTTTTCTGTTTTGTGCAGAGGCGATTTTACAACGAGACTCGGTGCTGCTGACGCGTGCGATCTACTGCATCTGGGGGAGGGACATTCGCTGGGGGGGTTTTGGGGGGGGGGGAGGCCAAGTCCCATCCAGCTGGCTTCAGCGTTCAGCCCAGTCAGTGGTCAGGTAGCTGGCTAGCTATACATAGGTACGCAGGGCAGCAATGACAACGAACGAGGCACTTACCACCTCACCTTACGATCCGCACCACCAATGCCCCTTGGCCGTCCCCATTTCCCATGTACACGTACTATGGTTCATCGCCATCACTCGGAACCCTTGATCGTTGGTTGCATTGTCACAGTGAAGACTCATGCCAACCGGGGCTGGCTGTGACCACCGATGAGGGGCGAGAGTGGGGCGGCGTGATGGGCTCTCGCACGATGCTAGAGTTGCTGGACAAACGCCGAGGATTCATGCTAGCCACGCTAGAAGCTCTCCCAGGCTGCTCCACCGGTGCGCTAAAAGGCACCCGGCCTGAACCGGAGACACAAAGAATGGACATCAACTACGTACATCATCAACCTTCCACTGTCGAGTGCCAATGCGGAACGTCGGATCCAATTGTTTGGCTCCCTATAGCTGATCCATCGCACCCTATCTGTATTGAATTCCCAGCAACGGTGAAAAGGAGTGAAAATAAATAAAAATAAAAAGGTCAATGCGAAATAAACACGCCTACCGTACTTTGGTCTCGCTCAAACGCGTTCCGCACCTCTTCGTCTTCCCCAGACGTTCGTGACTGGGGTCACAGCTTGGATAGGAGTCACGTCACGCCCAAGCGCCGGTCCTTCCAAGATGCATTCCACCGTTGCGGTCTCTCGAGTGTTTGGAACATGGCGAGTCCATCAACTCGCCCCTGCTCCATCCTTCAATCATCCACTGTTGCGCGAATCGTACTTCACTATGGTAACGACGTGACAGTGTCTCGTCTAAAGAGATCAACAAAAACCCTGGCTTGCCCGTTACGGATACCTACCCCTACCTCAGCTCCTCCCCCTCCCTTCACTCTGTCCCCAGTCCATCATCCCCCCTTGTCCAAGACAGGGCCACCGAGACCCCCCTCTCATTGCGTCTATCCCTCTCTTCCGATCTTCCGGCTGTCAGTCTCGAGCACCTGAGAGTCGCCAACCCGACGACAAGCTACGAGGACAGGCGGCCGGTAGACCAGGGCCAAGAAGAAGAAGAAGAAGACGCCGCTACCTGCGCAGGAACGACATACACTACTGTAGGACCCTTCCTCATCCGTGACATGTCAGTGGCCAGCCCGGCGACCTGCAGCGGCTGCCCAAGGAAACCGCGCGGGCGTCGGCAACAAGCGGAAACAACCATCTTCATTTAACCACCCTTCCCATTGTTGTCTTCGTCGAGTACCGGTCGGTTTTGGCGTCATGGGTCCCATCACCTTCTTCATTCCATAACGAGACGGGTGGCCAAATCAATAACATGAAATGCCGCTTCCACGTGGTTGCCTGATCCGCATTCCTCCGGCTACCTATCTAGGGCATCCACCCCATGTACGTCCGTCCCAAGATGCCAAGCCAAAGTCGTGGAACAGCATCTCAGTCGTAAGCTTGTCCAGGTCTCACCGCTTCGACTGAGACATACGGCCACTGGAAGCTGATCACGTTCTTACTGACGACATGCCTTGACTTCACAACAATCAAACAATAAATAAACAAATGCTCGGTGAGAGAGAAAACGGCCAGTGGCCACTCCATTTCAGACTCCCCCCCCCCGTCGTTCCGATAATATCGGAGTCTCTGGCCCGCTCATAGGATGTCTCCTTTTGCCAGTACCCCGTAGACTTCATTCGCAAGAAACCCATATCCCTCGTAGTCGCAGACTGAAGTCGGCCCGCCCCTCGACTACGCATATTATACAAACTACTTGTGTTGCTGCATGACGCCCGCCGACCCAATGATTCAACGCCCTTTCCATAGCAGGCGTATATTCCTTTAACGCCAATTTCCTCTGTCCAAGCACAAAGCCTTTTCAAAGGCCTCTTTTTTTTTCCGTCGTCAACTTGCCGCTTCTCGTTACTAACGCCTTCGTATGTGACAGTGCTTCATCCAGAGCATCTTTTCATGACTCCTCGGGCAAAGTCCGGCTAAGCCCGGCACCAGCCCACCACTCATCGGGAATGTCTTCCCGTCGTGCGAGGTTTCGAACAATCATCTGCATTCCATGCAAAGCATTGTCGTTGGATGCGTGGTTATGGCTTGAGGGGGTATCGTCGTCGTCGTCACCGTTGGTATCACCCTGACCGCCCGTACCTCCTGCCTCTTCGCTCGAGTCCCGTACAATGTGGCCCAGCAGCTCCGGAAGCGGGGTGGGGTCGCGAGTGGCAATCCGATAATGTCGAAGAAGCTCGAGTCGTCGGCGAGTTCGCATTTCTTCGTCGTCTTGCGCATTGCGGGCAGCAGGAGCTCTGTCTGCATGCCTGTGCGATGAATCATCTCGCATGTATGACAGTCGGCTCGGATCGTTCGCGTCTAGATCAGCAACGAAGCGACGGTGTCTCGAAGGATAGTTCATCGTCCAGTGATCCGGCCAGCCCCGGCCCATGCGCAAATCTTCCTGGCCTTCGTCGTCCGAATTATCGAGGCCAGATTCACAGGGCTGCTCAAGAGGTTCTTCCGCCATCTCAGGCCCCGTAAGAGAAGTGCGCGATGATGCTGCGGCGCTCTGTGACTGCGATGTAGAGGCCGATGCGGAAGCCGACGCCGAGGCAAATGACGATCCAGCGCTCGGGGGCTGCGGGTCCGGCGTCAAAGTAGTTAGCAGCGTGTCCCACACGCCATCTTCGTCGGGGCTGAGGCTTCGGTCGCGGTCGCCGAGGCCGTCGGTCAAAGACGACTCATTTGATTGTCCAGAAGGGCGTATCCGGCGGATGCGCTGATGCAAGGTCGGGGGTAGTGTTCGTGCCTCCACACGCGGTCTTCCTCCAGAGAACCTGGCGGAAACCGAGTGCTCGGGGCTGCGGTCGAAACGGGCCGCAACTGGCGGAGCGGGCTACTTTGCACGTCAGTTCTGCAGGTCGATTTGGGCGAACAGGTAATAAGAGCCTACCATCGACATGCGATCAATCTGCGCGCGACGGAACCGTCGACCAGATGGCACGTAAGGATAGAGAGCAATACCGTCGACCTGAGGCCTTTCGGGTTCCTGCCAGCTGGGTTGCTCTTCACCAACCGCAGGAGTGGCGTTGATCCGGGAGGGCTGAGGCGAGTGCTCCAAGGCCCAGCGTTCGCCCAAGAGGGAGATCAACCGAGCCTGGCTAGCTTCAGGTCCCCTTTCCCCAACCCGACTCCTCATCTCACGCAGTGCATCACGCAGTTCGGTGCTCTCGGGAGTAGGAGCACCCCGATCCGGTTCTGCAGGCGGCATCGTCCGTGGGGGGGCGGCATGGTAAGCCTCAGGCGGCGGCAGATGGCCAGACTCAATCCACGGGTAGCGAGCGCGCGGGACGGGTTCAGGTCCGGGAGTGGGGAAGTTATCGCGGAGCAATGCGGCGCGGCGTCGGAAGGGGCGGGAATCCAGGTTGCGGCGTGCGCGGCGAATGGAGGAGCGCGCATGGCGTGCGGATTCAGACTTGTCGCCGAGCTGAGAAGGAATGTCCGACTCGACGGGGGCGACGAATAGACTGCAGAAAGGCGAATGAGAGATTAGCAGGGGGTGCGAGGGTGAGGCGTAACGAGGCCGCCGACATTAACAGCGGTTGCGACGCAGTTCGACATCTACGTAATTGAGACGGGCATCGAAGACGGCGGGCAATTCGTTTGCATAAAAAGGGACGGCGGCCTGCATTGAACGGACGGGGGCGAGACGGATAGGAATGAGGCATTGAGTGGCAGCGGTAGCGCGACTGGGCGGGCTGAGATTGAGCCAGCGGTCCGACCAGGCACAGCGCAAAGGCAGTTGCAGCGCAGCCGGTGAAAGCGCAGGGAGTGAGAAGAAACTTACGGGAGTCCCATCTTGACAGGGTTGTCTCGCGCGCGTGATGAAAGAATGAATGAACGAACAACGTCGAGTATGAAGGTTGACTGAGAATGTCGAATGGATCGCGAGATGGGCTCGATCGGTTTCGTGATGGGAACGGGGCCGCGATTCCGTGTTTCGCGATGGATTCGCGATTGCGCGAAGCCAATATAGTCTTTCGTGGGGCGGGCGGGAAAAGAGGAAAGGATGGGGTCAGTGACGGGGATGGGGCACGGGGACTGGACGTAGATTGTCTGTCAGTCAAGGACGAGAAAAAAAACCAAGCAGATACGGGGAACGGGGTTAAGAAAAGGGAACAGGAGGGAAAATGGGAAAGGCACCGGTCTTTGGGGAATAGCCGCTTTACTTCTTTTCTTTGAGTGGCTGGCCATGCCATGTTGCCCCTTGTTGCTTGTCCCGGGCACCCTCCCCTGTGGCGCTGGCTTCGAGAAGCAAGTCATACGTGTATTTGGCCAATCATGAGGGCTCTTCGGCGCATAGCAAAAAATGGAGAACTTGGGGGAGCCTTTTAACGTGTGGCTGAAGCGGCACTCTGATGCAACTGCGCTTGCGTCCGGTCGCTGTTTCCGCGACAAGCATGGCTGGGCGGACTACCGAGGGTGCACTACCGAGGGTGCTTACATACTACTAGTAGATAGGTAGGTACGTACCTTATCTGCTCTCCTCTCGCCATGGACTCAACCTACCTGCCTACCTATAGGTAGGTATCAACGGTTTAGGTTGGATGGAGGGTCTGGAATGCGTACCGTGGTAAAAACCTATTCGCCAGCAGCTTCCAGCGCCGGACGCGACATTCGGGACCTTGAAAATCCAAGACCTGATCAATACCAGCGACTCCCAGTGACTCACTCCCACTATAGGGACCACTTTCTTAGGTATCTCCCATCCGTTGCCGGGCCACGGCTCCCAAGCCGAGGGACAGTACCCTATGCCTAACACCCCATCCGGAGCCACGCGCGTTGCACCAGACACCTCCAAACCCCCGGCAAACTCCAGCATGGCGATGAAGGGCATCAGTCTGGGCCTGCACCGCATATCCAGGGCCCTCGAAGGCGTTCCGCAGAAGTGGGATGCCATCCACGTCGCCGGAACTAACGGCAAGGGCACTACCTGCACATACCTGGCGGCCCTCTGCAGGTCCTTTGGCATATCAAATGGCCTCTTCACCTCGCCCTACCTAGTCGAGCCGCGTGACGCCATCAAAATCAACGGCGTACCCGTCCAGCAAGACATCTACAGCGACGTTCGACGCAAGATTCTTGACGACGAGCAGACCCGGCTAGCACAAGATGCATCGCAGGAGGCCCTCACCATCTTCGAGGTAACCACCCTCATCGCCTTCGGCGTCTTTAGCCGCGCCGATGTGCAGATGGGCCTCGTCGAAGTTGGCCTTGGCGGGCGACTTGACTCGACGAACGCCCTCAGACGGAAAAGAGTCACCGTCATCACCAAGATCGGCCTCGACCACCAGGCATTCCTTGGCAACACACTGCCCGAAATCGCCAAGGAGAAGGCCGGCATCATGATGGCTGGTGTGCCGTGCGTTGTCGACGGCAGCAACCCGCCCGAGGTCCTCGAGGTCTTCCGGCAACATGCCGCAAGCGTCTCGGCGCCGCTGCACCTCACTACAAATCAGAGTGGTCTCCTGGAGACTCTGTACCAGTCTGAGTTGATGCCGCACCAGGCCCAGAATATGGCATGTGCCATCACGGCCTTCCAAATTGCTTACCCAGATCTGAACCTCTCCGTGGAGAAGGCTCTGCCGATCTTGAAGGACGTCACACATCTGGGCAGACTCTCCTGGTTAGAGGTTGGCGAGAAGTACCCGTCACGAAAAGGGAAGCCCATTCTCATTGACGGTGCTCACAACCCACAGTCGGCAGAGACACTCTCCACCTTCGTCGAGCGACGTGTCCGGGATGCAGACAAGCCCGTCACCTGGGTCATGTCGGTCTCCAAGCAGGACGGAAAGGACGCTGGAGGTATGCTTCGCACTCTGCTAAGACCCGGCGATAGTATCACTTGCGTGCCCTTCTCCAAGCGAGAGACTATGCCCTGGGTTGAACCCTTGCCGCTCAACACATTGAGGGAGATGGCGTCCATTGCAGGCGCGAAGGAGATATACTTGGGCGAAGGGGGTCTCGAGGCGGCCACGCAATGGGCTGTCGACATCGCCGGAGACGGGCCCATTGTCTTGACTGGCAGTCTTTATCTCGTTGGAGACGCCTACAGGATTTTATCATGAGAAATCTCCAAACCAACGATTATTCATGCAGAGCTCAGCGCTCCATCGTTCTGTGAGAGTTGTGATCTTCCAAATTGTTGCGACCATACCATATCAGTAGTTTCAAGCATGATACATGTAGGATATTGGTTGCTCTCGCTACTCGTGATGGCTCATCACCTATTTGTGACACCTTCTACCTAGGGTATGGATGGAGTACACTACCTCCTCACCGCCATAGCATCACATGCTCCACAACAGCCAGTCTAATACGCAGCAGCCACCCGGGTTTCGAGGCACACTGCTACAAAGTCATTCAAAAACCCTTGATCGTGCCGTCAATAGAACTGTGCCATGACAGCCCCCACGCACCTCATAATCGTGTGCTGCCACGGCATCTGGATCGGCGGCCCCACAAACGGCCGCGCCGAGTCGGAGTGGCTCATCGCCGGCTTCCAGACCGGCGAGACCCCAACGTTCATCGACCACATCAAGGCCGGACTGGCGGTGCTACAGGACGACCCAGCTTCTGTGCTCGTGTTTTCGGGGTAAGTCCGAGCCTCCCCGGCAGGCTTGTGCTATCAAAGCTTCTCTGCTTAAAATCGCTCATCTCATCTCATGAGCACTGGTTCACCACGTTGCCGCTCCACGTCGCTTCAGTAGTCCCCAACCATGTATGCTTTTGACAAGAAATAGTTGACACTGACAGCCTCCACCACGCAGAGGACCAACACGTAAAGAGACGCGCCTTTCGGAGGCGGAAAGCTACGCCAATCTCGCCTCCGCCAACGCCTATTTTGGCATCTTCCCCTCCTCCCCGGACACCACTTTGTTCACGTCCCGCATCCATATGGACGCCCTTGCCCTGGACTCGTACCACAACATCTTGCATTCCCTCCTCCTCTTCCGCCGCCTCTACGCCTCTTGGCCGCAAAACCTGACGATCGTCAGCCACGCCTTCAAGAAGCCGCGCATCGTCGACGGCCACTGCGCCGCCATCGGCTTCCCTCTCGAGAGGGTGCACTTCATTGGGATCGACCCGCCTTGCATGCGGGCTGCTAGTACTACTGCTGCTGCCGCTGCCGACGATGACGAAGACGACAAGAGAACCACTGGCGCAAGCGACGGAGACAAGGCGGGGGCCATCGCCGGCGTGCAGCGCGCCGTCGACGAGTGGGCGCAGGATCCGCACGGTATCGGCACCACCCTGGCCAGGAAGAGGAGGGCGAGGAACCCCTGGGACCTGGATGATAGGTTATTCGCGAGCGAAGAGGAGAGGGCGAGGAGCGGTGTTGCCACGAGGATCGTGGCTGGGCACGAGGCGTTGGTTGAAGATGCGAAGAGGCCGTGGGCTTAGTATATTTCTAGGAATAGACGGCATATAACACGAGTAAATCCCCCAAACCTCCCCAGGATGTAGCAGTCGGTCCCCTCGACCATGACGCCTGTCACCCGCGACGTCTCAAATCCTCGCCTTCCTCTCTTCACCGCCGCAGCCGCCATCCTTCTCGGCGACGGCGTCAACGAGGAACGTTAGCGAGTCCTCCACCATCATCTCGCTGAAGGCGTGCCCGACGCCCCCGTACACGTTGTTCTTGATCGTGATGCCCTCGTCGGCGTACCACGACCCCGCCGCGCCCGCGAAGAATTCGATGAACGGCTCCGACATCTTGTACGGCACCAGCTTGTCCTCGGCGCCGGAGCACACAAGGAACTTTTTGCCGCCGACGCGGAGGCGGCTGAGCACGCCGCGGAGGCGCCGCCTCTCATCCTCCGGAACGCTCTCCGCGGTCGCGGGGATGGCGCCGGTGCCGAAGAGAATGCCCTTAGGGTCGTGCCGGAGACACGACGCCACCAGGCCGGGCGGGAAGTCCCTGCTGCCGAGGAATGAGGCGCCGTCATCCTCGGCGGAGAAGGTCTTCAGGTTGGACTTCTTCGCGCGGTCCGATAGAAGTGCTTTGTCCGTCGAGCTTGTCAGCTTTCTCCTCTCTCTCTCTCTCTCTCTCTCTCTATCTCACACACACACACGCTCACACACATCACATCGTCGGTCGATCGCGGGAATGCAGCACTCACCCATATAATCGGGACATCCGATGATGATGACCCCGGCCGACACCCTGTCCTCCCTGAACATCGTCTGCCACGCACTGTGCCCGCCGAGGCTCACGCCCATCACGAGGTGCTGGTCCATCTTCCACTCCTCATCGGCGCCCCGCCGCGCGAGCTCCAGCTTCAGATAACCCTCGACGATGTCGATCAGTGCCGTCGTGTCGCCCGCCATTCCCGACACCATTGCCCACATGTCAAGTGCGTGCGTTGCGTTGCCCTCGCGCCACGAGTCGCTCGCCGTCGGGCTCACGGTCCTGGTGCCGTGGTTCTGCTGGTCAAAAGCCACAGCGATGAGTGCCCTGCTGCTACCGACGCTCCCAGCACCGTTCCCGGCCGCGGACGACGACGACAATGTCTCTTCCCACCGCGCGATGACCCGGCTCGCGAAGTCTCCCATGTCCTCCTTGGCGCGCAGGCGTGGGTGATGCAGCCACAGGCACGAGACGGTCGACGCCCGCCGCCTAACAAGCTCCTCGAGGCCATAGACGTCGCAGAGGAGGCCCGACATGGGGAGTGTTATCTTGGAGACGTCTGGGGGCGGGGTGGATGTGCCCATTGGGTTGTTTGTCGACGCCATATTGAGTACGTGCTATACTCCCCGATTTTCGTATAATAGAATAACAAGGGTTGCGCGATCCGCCTGACTCTATGATCTTAAATAGGAGTTACGCAGCTAGTGATGATGATTAATAACATCGGCTTGAGGTTCGTGGTAGTGGGTGAGTGATAGCGGAGTATAAGTGAGTTGCGGGTCCGAAGTTGCCGAGGGCCCCAGAAAAGACAGAGCTGCGTCAGATTTCGAGTGCCGTCAATGTGGGTGCGAGCGGCGTTTATAACCGAGCAACTCAGAGACCGTCCGAAGTCCGACATCGTCCTAAATGCGAAGAAGCTCAAAGCAACCTGGAGAGGCGCGCTGGATTTTGAGCCGTTTCAAATAAGCCAGTTGAAGCATCACCCTGGCGGACTGGCTATGCAGAGAAACTTCAGCACAGGGAACGCTGAGAGAAATGATTTCCAAGGTCATTGATTTAAAGGACGGGTTTCCTAGTGTGATATGGAAAATCCCAGACAGTGGCAGCAATCTCGAGCTGTCTTCGTCAAAGTCCCTTGAGTCCCTCCAGCAGAATCCGTAGCAAAAGAGTCGCCATCCGAGCATGCAGACTTCCCTCCCAAACGCCATGTTTCTGTGCCTTTCCTACCCCCCCTTCCGTGCCCGTAGCCCGTGTCATTACGACCTATGTACGTTGATCAATCGGTTTTTAGTTGGCCTGCTTGAACAGAATACACTCATTAAAATTTCACTGGGGTGTGGGGTTATCTTATCACCCACACCCTCGCGAAGCAGATCTGTGACCGCTTCTGGATGAACTCAGCCTTAATCCATCTTCCAATGATTTGTCAAACCACCGTCGTGGTCCTCGTTGCCCAGGTAGAGCTCAACCGCGTACAGGGACATTGTGGCCGCCACGTTCGTCCAGCGCCAGACATTGCCACCAGGATCACCTCCTCTCAGTGTCCAACCATCCGGTCCGTCGTTGGTCGAGAAATGTTGTAAGAGCAGGCTGGTGTACATGGCGATAAGGATGGATGGTGAAAAGTAGGTAATCACTCCGAGTAGCCAGTTAGCTGCGTCTGACTCCTCAAGGGACGGCTCATCCATAAGAGCCCTGGCTCCAGATTCGCGGACCGCGGGGATGATGCGGGTAGCGCAGTAAAAGACGAGGAGTCGGAAAGCAAGCGAGATGATGACGGACGGGGTGATGGTCTGAAAAGCGGCGTAGAGAAGACTGAGAGACGAGTGAACTGCGTGAGGAAGGGAACCGAGCATGTGAAGGAGAGTCGAGTACGATGCCATGATGATGGGTGGCAGAGGCGGGAAGTCAGGTTGAGACGACTGGTGTTGGTCCGCCTCAGTGGACTCGGAGGGTAAGTAGTCGGTGAAGATTTGGTAGACGCAAAGGACAACGTATGCGAAGAGGAGGGACGATTCGACAGGATTTCCTCGGCCACTGCCTATTCCGTATGCGCAGAGGAAGAAGGCTGAAGTCATGGTGATGCCGATCAGAATCGCATCTGAGTTGTTAATGTAAGGGAAGTGAGCGACACGCCAGAGGAAGTATACGGCACTCGCAAGCACGCTGCCGGAAATAACGAGCAGGATGATCTGTAATGTTGGTTAGCAAGTCTCTGGGACAAGTGCATGGGAAAAGACCTCGCGCAGCCCTGGTATCACCAAGTCGTTGGTGACAGCTCGGGTCTTACAAGAGTCGGGGGCAGGGAAGGGATTCGACGTACGATCCAAGTGTCACTTCGTCCTCTGTTGACCAGCCACTTTGTGATTTGTCCAGCGGCCTGAATGACAAGCAGGGTGCAGAAACCCTCGAGAAGCTGGAAGACAGGGCTCGAGTACCGCAGGGTCTTATCCCAGCCACCCAAGGTAATGGTCTCGACAACACCGCCCTCGCCAAACATCCACTCGCCCCATGACGTCGACTTGGAGGACGTGAGACCTTGCAGCGTCCGCTCGACCCAGGTGGTAGCGCCGGCGTCGACGGCAAAACGGCCGAGGGCCCAGATTAGCAGGCCCGGGATGACGACCCACTGCGAGAGACGAAGGATGACGGAGATGGCCCAGCGGACGCGCGATTCGGCAGGGGTGACGACAGCGATGGCCGAGTAGACAAAGTAGAAGACGCAAAGGGCGAGACTGTAGGCCAGGCCACTATCCCTGCCGCCGACATCGAAGGCCACGGGTATGGAAAGCACTATACTCAGCAGGAAGATGGCACTGGCGACGATTCGGAGGAACCACCACATCGGCGCGACGACCTGGCTTGCTGGAGCCGCGCCGACAGAGGGGTTTGTTTCTGGCGATGGCCGGCCACCTTGGACGGCGAGGCGGCTTGGTGGAGGTCGGTCGAGGAAAGCGACGAAGGTTTGGGCGTGGAGTTGTCGCAGTCCACGAGAGGGTCGGGCTGAGGTGGAGGTGGAGAGAGGGAGAGCAGACGAAAGCCGATGGTGAGCGAGAGGGCCGAGTGTCGAAGGTTGCTCCCAGGGCAAGGCAGATGGACTGGGTTGAGCGGCCGAGAATGGCGGCCGAGGTCGTCGATGTCGAGGCGTACACGATGCAGAGGTTGTAGAAGAAATCGCTCTCGTGTAAGAATGCCAGGAACTGGCGAGGGTGAGAAGAAAGAGCGTAGGTAAGGTCCAGGTCAGATCCAGATGCGGCGGTCGGGAGAGCGAGGCCCAGGCGATTAAATTCAACTGGGAGATTTTTGGGCGAGGTGGCAGGAAGCGGACCCATGGACTGGAGCTTAGGCTTATCGTTCGAGGCGGTTGCTCGCCTAGGTCTTATCTTCACGTGGCGCGGCTGCTAAAAGACAAAGATTCCCCAAGGGAGTGGAGGGAGGAGATGCCTATGTGAGCACTTTTGTTTGGGCTTGTGAGCGGTGAAGCTGCAGCTCTCAGGCCAACCTGATGTCAAAGCTTCATCCCCCCCGTTTCCTCTCTTTCTTTCTTTCTTTCTTTCTTTCGTCCTCGCAGACAATGAGAACAAGCGACGAATCCTCGAGGTACTACTATGCTGTATCCGTACTGCCTTGATACTTATGGAACAAATGACTGGGATCTGCGAGACATAACAAGGCCATACCCGGGCTGCATGCAACTCACATGCAGATTCAGAACAGGCAAACGGAATAAGGAAAATTGAAAAAATGCAGTTGAATTCGGTGGGCGAAGAGAACAGCTCTCAGGTCGCGTGCCCCCATCGCAGCAGTCTCCTCATGCCCGAATTCCAGCCTAGTTTACCGACACATCGGGCTCGGGGATCCGTTGATGGGATCTGGTCTTGCCAAATGGCGGCAACGCCTGGATGGAATCATTATAGCACGTTATTGCAGCGTTGCAGTCTCTCAGGCGTCCCTGCAGCTAAACTACGGCCTCCACTTCTCGCGGTGTTGGTGCAATTCTACTACGTAGACCCATCTGATATCATCCCTGCTTCTCCATCTAACGGGTTGGGCTCTCTCCAAGTTGTCTGCATGTGACAGCCAATCATGGGGCCTCTCCCTACATGGTCTCTGCTTCAACCTCACCTAACCCTCCTTGGACATGACGATTGAACAGCCACCGCAGGTCACCTGAACATGCTGAAACCCCTCTGTACGCCGCGTTCAAAAGTCGACGGCAAATGCGGGTGTATCGATAATGGCGCCAAAGGTCTCTTTTGTGTGCGCAAAATACCCTTAGCTGGGAATGTCCTGGGCCAAAGTCTCTCCAAGAT